ATGGAAAATGAAATAAAACATTTAATACCGATAGGGTCTTTAAAAAAAAAAAGCAGCTACTAAGTCAAGTTAAATGATGATAGGAACAAGTTAAATAATTGTTAATATTTCATGCACTTTATCCATCTATTTAATGATATAGATCTTTGGCATCTGTTCAGCATGAATTTAACAAGATTAAATCTTTCAAACTAGAGAGTATTTGCTCAACTATGGATTATAAACCAAAGTGCAAGAGGTGGCACAGGAGAGATAGATGTATTATATTCTCTTCCGCGATTCCTCTCATATCTTTGGTTCTTTATGTATTTATCTTTTATCACTGAAAACATGTTAATACACACCTGGTCTTTTTCAAGTTGCCTAAATAGAAATGTACTTTAAGTAACCTCTAAAGGAAGCGTGCACATGTAAATACAAAAATTATTACTACGCAAGAAAATAAATAAAACAACTTCCAATTAGTCAGCTTTCAAATAAATGCAGGCACCGTTGTATCATTCATTGCTACATGACGCTGTTTGCATCGTGGGGCGAGTCCATCAGTTCGTATCAGTTACGACGTTGGCAGAAGCAGCATCTAGCCACGCCCCTCATTCGGAGCAAACCTCCTCCCCGCCGATCACGAGCGAATAAACAGCAAGAAAGCGCGAGTTCGGAAAGCGAATCAGGAGAAGGCTCCATTACCGTCGAGTGGGGAAGCATCGTGGACTGGAGTGACAGGCCCGGACAATAGAGCAATTGCGAAGGGCTTTGGGCTTTGGCCGCGGGTGTTCTTGTCGACCCTGGGAAATTGTGAGTAAAAAGAAAAAAGCGTAAAGGGATGTTGCAAATGCTATTCTAGATGAAACCCGCCTTTTCCTGCACTGGAGTAAACGACCCTTTCTTTTCCTATTTTCCTCCTGTAAAACCTAATGATGTTTTGTATCGTACCAAGTCTAGCTAGTGTCTCCGACTCGTTTGGCCTCCCCCGGCTTGATGCTCCTGTCCTCTTCTAGTAGAGCGCATCCCTCTGCCTCTCTCAGCGACCGATGCAAGACTCACCCTCTTCAGCTCTCCCACCCTCTGAATCGTCGCTGTCTCGCTTTCTCCTTCCTCATGAACAGAGGTCTTCAGACTTGGCAACTTTTAAGATTTGTGGACTTCAACTCCCAGAATTCTATAGCCATCATAGCTGTCTGGAGAATCCTGGGAATTGAAGTCCACAAGTCTTAAAGTTGCCAAGTTTGGGGATCCCTGCTCAAAAGATCTTCCTGTTCGGTACTGTATGGTTAGATGGAGGGGGACGGGAAGGTTGCGGTTGCTGCTGTTAAATTGCATCGATGATCCAAATTAGTACTAAAGGGGGATAGCACAAAGTACCCCCTTTTCTTTGTCTCCTATGCAATTCTTACAGTTTTACAATGAGAGTAAATTAAAACCACCAAAAGTTTTGGCTTTAGTTGACTGTTTTTCAATCTCACCAGTTTTAAAGACTGCGGAAACTTCCAAAATTCCTCTGTCAGCACAGAGAAATGCTGCTTCAAAGCATTGTAGTTTGAATTAAAACAGAAAAAGGTTGCTTTGCTTTGGCTTTTTGCTGTCTTACAATTACAGCTCTTCATTTATTACACAAACATGTGTAACTATGGCTGCTTTATTTTTATTTCTGCCACTGTTGCACATACTATTGGAATAGTCTCTAATCTATAGAGCAGCGAATGATGTTATTCTGTTAAATGAGGGGTGGGGAGGATCATCAGAGGCAAAAAAGAAGTGCATAATGGCATTTTTCATTGCCATGAACTGCATAAATATATTTGCCGACAGTCACCAACTCCCCAGCTAAAATCAAATGTATGTTAAAATATTGTATTTTTAAAAATATTTGCCTTAATTTGGTTAAAATAAGTTATTATTTTGTTTTCTTATAGTAATAGGGAACAGAGTTGCAAAGTATGACTGGGTAGAAATCTTATAAGTACAAATCAATCTTATTTATATAGGTATACTTTAAATTATAGTCCTTGCCTTAACACAATTTTTAGCGACTTGAAAGTTGTAAGAGCACTGAAAAAAATAACTTATGACAGGTCCTTATGAATACTGCAGCATTCACATGACCAGAATTTAGACATTTGGCAACCAACATGTACTTATGATAATTGCAGCATACTAAGGTTCTGGATTATCATTTGTGACCTTCCCAATATGCTTTCTGATAAGCAAAGTCAATGGGGCAAATTGGATTTGCCTAGATGATTGACTTAACAACTACAGTGATTCATTTAATAACTGCAAAAAGGATTGTAAAATTGAATTGTTAACAACTGCCATGCTTAGCAACAGAAATATTTGTCCCACCTGAGGTAACAAGTCAAAGATTACTTTGTAAATGGATGTTTTTCCTCACACTATTTGTATTTCTCATATTTTGATTTTATTTCTCCAGATTTTTGTTGAATATCTCCCACCCTTACGATGTTTGCAAAAGCAACCAAGACTTTTGTGAAGGAGGTTGACTGTGGAGGAGACTTAATCTCTGTGTCATCCCTGAATAACTTAGATAAATTACAGTTCTTGAACTTAGTCACAAAGAAAAAGAAAACATGGTGCTGGCAAAATCCAAAGTATCATCTCTCATCAGTTTCATTGAATGATCTGCTTTCTGAAGACATGCATGAACCTATAAAGCCAGGTAGAGTCACAGTTAAACACTGTTATGGGAGATAAGAAGAAGTGCAAAGTCCTATGCATTATTGTACAGATGACCTGATTTATTAGTGTTGAACTTTGAAATAGTTATCATTTTTTCCCCAAAAGTTAGATACAGCAATATTATTTTATATGTCATTTTGTTTTTTTATTCGTTTTCTAGAAGTGGTTGGTTGCTGGGTTTTTTTGGAAGTTTTTTTTAAGTTTTTAAAATCCATTTTCAGTCAAAATAGTTCAGATTGATCTATTAGATAATAGTTTCAATTGTGAAACTCTACAGTTTTGTAGTTAAAAATGATGCAATTTAAAGTTATGTCATTTTATGGGATATGTGCTATTAAATTCCTTGCCTGCAATACTTAATAAGATCACTTACACAAGAATAAGTGCTAAAGTCTGATCATTCAGTGGATGCCTAAGTTTGTACTCAGGAAGCACTTTGACCATTCAGAATAGCAGTAATTAGTGATAACATTTTGTCTAACATTACTAAATTAATACTTGTTGACAATTTAAGAAATTGCTGCTTTTAATCAGATGGAAATAGATTATCTCAGATTTAAACTGAATTTAGGCATAATATCCTGAAAAACCATTTGGTAATTTAGTAAAAAAAAACTTCTACAATTAATATAACTGAAGACAAATAATTTTTCTTTAAGAAAATTGCTTATACTTGCTATTTTAGGATAGCAAATTTGTGGGTTACAATTCAGGATCATTAAGGAACTTTATTATTTTCTGTTTTTAAAGATGTCAAAGATTTTTTGTTTTGATACCTTGTTCTTTTCCTGAAGTAGAGTTCATTATCTTGCTCTGAATACTGTTAATAGAATCTTACTGATTGGGTTCTGGTGCCATGCTAAATCACATTGTAATATTTTTAGTTTTGTTCTGGCTCTATGAGAACTCAGCCTTATGACTTGCGAACTATGTTTTTTAAATTAAGTGGGAATGTGTAAAATATTGGATTTTGTTTTTCTCCTATAACACATTGGTTATTTCATGAAAAAAGATCATCCTTAACTAAACAATTGTTCTTTTAGTGACTGTTCAAAGTTACATCAGCATTGAAAAAGTTATTTATGACCGTTTTCACACTTGGGACTGTTGAAGAATTCCCATTATGAGAAAATAACCTAAATCTCTTCCTATACCTATACTCTTTGATTCTATTGCCCTATGCTCCTATTGAGATATCTTATAAGGCATTATATTTCAGTGCCTGCTTTAAAATTTGCAAACTAACTAAATATTTGTAATCCGTATTGTGTAGAACAGTATTGACAAATCTTTTTGGCACCGAGTGCCATAACGGGAGCGGGAGCGCGCACGTGTGCTGGAAACTGGAAGAGCAGCTGCCTGGTATGCATGCTCTTCTGGTTATAACCAGAGGTGGATTGCTACCAGTTTGGCCCAGGTCGGCTGAACCAGTAGTGGAATTCAGCCCTGGGTGACCCAGGCCTGACACGCCCCCAAACCAGTTCTCCAGTATCTTTGCCATTGCCAGCAGGGTTCTGCATATGCATAGAGCAATTTTTAGTCAAATGTGCATGCACAAGCAACGCGCACGCAGTAAACTAGTACTAACCAATTCAGGAAGCCACCCCTGGTTCCAGCGCACTGGCCAGCTGGTCTTCACATGTGCAGCACCAGAAACCAAAAGACCAGGTAGCCAGTGCACATGCGCATGCTGGAAACAGAAGAGCAGCCACCTGGCGCGCCAAAAACCAGAAGAGCAACAGCTCGCATGTCCAGAGAGATGCCTCTATGTGCCACTTCCGGAACGCATACCATAGGTTTGCCATCACGGGTGTACTGATTATATTGTAATTACAATATAATCAGCTTTGGAGATATTTTGAGCATGAAACATCTGGAACATTAAGAAATAAGGAACTAAAAGTTGCAGATGGTAGGAGATATCAGATGAGCGCATTGAAATGTGCCAACCACAAGATGGCACTGGGAAATGAGGAACTAAATGTAACAAGTGTCTGAGAGCTTAAAATGTACACGGATGTATGTGGAGACTGACTGTCAGTAAGACAGAACAAGGAAGTAAGTTGTGAAATGCGTGCAGAAAAGTATAAAAGAAGGTCTTGGGAAGAGTTCAGGGCCACTGGCCGTAGCTAATCCTTGCTGGACTCAGCTATGTCAGTGGACCTTATTGCAATAAGTTGTTAATGTAAGTATTGGTATGTTGGCTATTCATGTTCCAAATTGCTCATGAAACAAAATACTTCTGATCTTAAAGTAAGATTTATTGCTTGTGGTTCCCCTTTGTTTTTTTATTGGGATATTTTTATGACACCATGATCATGTAATCAAAATCTGGATGCTTGACAACTGGTTCATATTTAAGACAATTGCAGTATCCTAGGGTCATTTCATCATCTTTTGTGACCTTCTGTCAAGCAAAGTCAATGAGGAAGCCAGTTTCACTTAACAAACGTGTTACTAACAACTTCAGTGATTCACTTAACTACTACATATGTTATGGCCGGAAGTGGGGGCATTATTGGTTTTTTATTTTTTTAGAATGTTTATTTTATTTATACTGTGTTTTAATTGTTTGTAAGCTGGCTAGAGTCACTGAGCAAGTAGGCAGCTATATACATTTTCTAAATAAACAAATAAACTGTGGCAAGAAAAGTTATAAAATGGGCCAAAATTCATTTAGCAACTATCCGGTCTAGCAACAGAAATTTTGAGTTTAATTGTGATAATAAGTCAAGGACTATCTATAGTCTACAAATCATTTCCCATTCATATTCCAGAAGATGATGGATCATTCCTGCAGTGATCAGTTAGATATATTCCAGGAGTAAATCTCAGAACACCGGAATCTTTTTTTATTTTCTACGTAGCCTGCCTTTTTGTTCTGGTGAACAAACAATGCAGCTAATAAGATTAAAAAATAAAAATAGGACATGGAAGGTTAAAATATACATATGTGCACCATCTATTTGCCAATAAGCATAGCTTTGATATGATGCCTCAAGATATGAATATATATCGCCTTGAGGAGCCACCAGTCTCTCTGCCCTGACTGACTTTTTATAGTAAAAACATAGGAATTTGGAATTACATCAAAGAAATGTCGCCTTTTAACATCATCTTAGTTTCCCTATTTTGTTCTTGTTGAGAAACAGGGTTTCTTCTCCCAAAAAAGGACAAAAGAATTCAAAGAGCAGGTATTGTTCCATGAGAGTGAAAAATTAAAGGAGGATAGAAAGTTGCATATGGTAATCAGGGCTCTGTAAATGTATACATACAGTGTAGTAATTTTATAATTGGGCAACCCATTCTCAAAAACTGGTTTATTATTATATATCAGTAACAGCAAAAGTAGAATTCAGAGAAGCCATGAATGATTTACTATAGCTTCTGTGACTCAGTCTACTTTAAACATGTCAGGACAACAGTTCTTGAAAGTTTGCTTTGTTTTATTGATTCTTAGGATTCAATTGATTAGCCTTTTAAGTTGTAGAAGAAAATGAATATGAAAGAAACCTCTTAAATTAAGAATTAGCTTGAGTGTATAGGATTGCATATTATCCCAACACAACTGTGAGACTCCCAAGAAATTTAGAATAGGAAATGTCTGTTCCGTGCTAGTCTTTCAAATATATGATTGGTTCAATTTCGTCTTAAGTTTTTCATTGGCTAAAAGTTATTACTTCAGTGTGCTTTGGGGCATGATTGACTTTAATATCCAGCAAGATTTGTATCAAGTTGTTTTATTTCCTGTATCCTTAATTTTGTGCTTCATTCACTGTATTGTCCATAGTCCATCAGAACTAGGGGTTGATTGTGGGATGGTATAAATAAATAAATAGGCAGATAGACAAAGCATGGCAATACTTTTATTTTGTGACTTTCATTTTCCCAGTGGATAGACAGAATAACTTCTGGTGGAATTCAGAGATTTGTTACTTAGAATGACTGCTATTTTTCTTTAAATGTCACATATGTATGCATGCATTTCTAAGACCCAAATCCTTTCAAATTATTGAAGACTTATAACATTCAGATCCATATATTCTAAGGAGGGGAACTTTGGACACCCAAGCAGCATTGGTAAACTCTACTAACAAGGCCCACTGGTTCAAAGAAACTGCATTTATTTTAATATCATGTGAAGAACCATAGATTCTCCATCTTTATTCATTGGATTATAAACATTTTTAAATACAGGGAGCAGTAGAAAACAATTACTAAGTAAGTCAATATGTTTTGTTATGAATAGTTTTTTATATTTTTAAAAATAATTTATGTTGTGCTCCAGTTTAATGTTCTGTAATTTGGATATTTTACTTTCCCCCTCAGTTATTGTAGAGTCTGACTTTGTGAAGTATGAAGGCAAGTTTGAAGACTGCATCAGAGGAAGCATTGATACGTCATTTGGAAGAATTAATTTAGGAACTGGAGCAAGCGATGTTGTGGAAAGTCTGTCCTCTTTTGGAAATCTTAAAAAGCAAGAACTTGACTTGCACAAGCTTATGAAAGATGTGAAGGGAAGGTACATATTTATTTATTTACTAAAGAGAGAATTATTTATCAATTTGTTATAGGAAAACAATATTAAGTCCATCTATTAAACAGAAGCTTTTTTTCCATAGAAATTTTAATGTATTTTTTTCTCCTTTAGGACAATAAATCTACAGACTTCGTTGTTGGAACAAATGCTTGAAAGAAAGAATGATGTCCTTTGTATCCTTATAGAAAAAATATTGACGACTCAGAAATGTTTAATATCCGAACATATTCAAAAAGAGGAAAAACTTGCTGGAATGGTGGGAATAAGTACAAAAATTATAAAGGTATTAATGCATAAGGAAGAATAGTGATGGACTATTACAGCATTCTATCACATTTTTCCATATCACCGCCCCCCTGCAAGATGTATATAGCCTTTGTGCCCTTTAAATTCCCCTTTTTAAAGAAAAATAAAAAAGTTCTCTTATAAATTCCCCTTCTGAAAAAGTTGAAATTTCATCCCTGTCCACTCCAGCCTTGTATTACATTGCTGACCATATCCCTGTGTCTTTTGAAGCCTTTAAAAAAAGAAAACAAGTGCATTTATTTGCACAAGCACAAATAAACTTGTTTGCATTAAGTTGAAATATTAATGTTTCTGTTCAAAAATGAATGTTCTATGCAGTTTGAAGATTGTTTGCTACTAAACCTATTTGCTATTAAATGTTAGAATGAATAAAAAATTGTAGGATTTATAAGGTTTATAAGATTTATATTCAGATCAAAGTGTGATGCCCTTAACACATCCTCGCTATAGTTTTAAATGAAAGTTACAAAGTGCTGGATAAAACTAAAGATAATTGAATCCTTTGCTCCAATTCTGTCAGCTGTAGAAAAGTTCACAAGAAGTTAATTATAGAAATACTCATTCCAGCTGAAAGTCACCATAAGTGTATTTGTAGAGATCCATTTGTATTAAGGAGAATCCCTTGTAGTAGACCTGTCTTTTGTGAATTAAAAACCCACCTAGTTCTCAAAGGCAAACTTAAGAAAACACATTTTAGAGCTGTCTAATTTTAAAACAACTTCTAAAATATTTAGTTATGCAGAGCTTGGTGCTCTCTGAGTTTGATGGTTTGCTTCCTGATGTTTCCTAATCAACTTTAACATTATCAGTACCTAGATTGGTAATGAAACATCTGCTCAGAGAAGACCAAGGACTCCAATATCTATATATCTATATATCTATATATCTATATATCTATATATATCTATCTATATCTATATCTATATCTATATCTATATCTATATCTATATCTATATCTATATCTAT